CTAGCCCAGCTTGAGTTCGGGACTTGATGGCCCAACTGTTCCGCTACGATAATGCATTTGCATTTGGATGCCAAATGGTGCAACACTCGGACAATGCGAGCTTCTTGATAATGTCGTGTTTTGTTGCTACGGGCGCCCTTTCAAGTCGCAGGAAGCATGGCTTTAGGGGTGGAGTTGTCAGACTTTTAGGGGTGGAGTTAAGGCTGCCCGTTCTTTGTATTTCTGAAAGCCGAAGCCAATTATCAAGACAGCTGGGCTGCCCTTGCGCAAAACGGCGAGTACTGTAGGAGAAGCGCGTTGGCAAGCGTAATGCGAAGAGTCCTGGCTGACGCGGCCAAACGAGGCGCAAGAGAATCTGGCGTGTGCTAACTGTATAGCTTCCGCAAGTGACACCTTTGCGTGGCATCCGCGTTCGCCCCGAGCGGGATTGGCTTCGCTTGCCGCTCTTGCCGTTGCGCGGCACCCGTGCTCGGGCCGAGCGGGATCCCGAGCGGGCTACGCCTGCGCGCTGCATCCATAGTTGGCCTGAGTGGACTCCCGAGCGTGGCTGCGTTGGTCCTTAAGAATTACCTGCACCTTGGCACGGCGCACGTGTTTGGCCCGAGCGGGATCCCGAGCGTGTCTGCTTTGCTTTGGTCCTTACCAGCGCCTTTGCGCGGCGTCTGTGCTCGGCCCGAGCGGGATCCCAAGCCTGTTTGCGGGCGCGGCCCCGGCAAAACTTGTGGGCTTTTAAAACCAGGGCACGGTGTTTCTTCATGATTATGAACTTGTCTTTGTCTTGCGGGTAAAGCTTGTACACGGTGCCCAAGTCAGCTTCACTTCGAAACTTGGTGGCCCAACGGTTTTGCTACGATAATGTGTTTGCGTTTGGACGCAAAACTCGGACAATGCAAGCTTCTTGATAGTGTCGTTTTATTCTACGGGCGCCCTTTCAAGTTGCAGGAAGCATTGCTTTAGGGTTGGAGTTGCCAGGCTTTCAGGGGTGGAGTTGCCAGGCTTTTAGGGGCCCGTTGTTTGTGAATCCCAAAGCCAAATTCAATTATCAAGACAGTTGGGCTGCCGTTGCAGGAAACGGCAAATACTGTAGGAGAAGCGCGGTTGCATCCTGGCTGGCTGACACGGCCAAGCGAGGTGCAAGAGGGTCTGGCGTGTGCTAACTGTATGGCTTCCGCAAGAGGGTCTGAGGCCTTTGCGTGGCATCCGCGTTCGGCCCGAGCGGGATCCGAGCGGGATTCCGAGCGTGGCTTCGCTTGCCTTTGCTTGTGCCCTTGCGTGGCATCCGTGCTCGGCCCGAGCGGGATCCCGAGCGGGCTAGCGAGCCTGGCCGTTTTGGTCCTCTGCGCGTTGCCAGCGCCTTGCGCGGCGTCTGTGCTCGGCCCGGGCGGGGCCTCAAGCCTGTTTGCGGGCGCAGCCCCCGCAAAACTTCGAGCGTATTTGTGGGCTTTCAAGAGTGAAACCAGAGCACGGTGTTTCTTCAGGATTATGGACTTGTCGTTTTCTTGCTGGTAAGGCTTTACACAGTTTCCTAGCCCAGCTTGAGTTCGGGACTTGATGGCCCAACTGTTCCGCTACGATAATGCATTTGCATTTGGATGCCAAATGGTGCAACACTCGGACAATGCGAGCTTCTTGATAATGTCGTGTTTTGTTGCTACGGGCGCCCTTTCAAGTCGCAGGAAGCCTGGCTTTAGGGGTGGAGTTGTCAGACTTTTAGGGGTGGAGTTAAGGCTGCCCGTTCTTTTTATTTCTGAAAGCCGAATTCAATTATCTAGACAGCTGGGCTGCCCTTGCACAAAACGGCGAGTACTGTAGGAGAAGCGCGTTGGCAAGCGTAATGCGAAGAGTCCTGGCTGACGCGGCCAAACGAGGCGCAAGAGAATCTGGCGTGTGCTAACTGTATAGCTTCCGCAAGTGACACCTTTGCGTGGCATCCGCGTTCGCCCCGAGCGGGATTGGCTTCGCTTGCCGCTCTTGCCGTTGCGCGGCACCCGTGCTCGGGCCGAGCGGGATCCCGAGCGGGCTACGCCTGCGCGCTGCATCCATAGTTGGCCTGAGTGGACTCCCGACGTTGGTCCTTAAGAATTACCTGCACCTTGGCACGGCGCACGTGTTTGGCCCGAGCGGGATCCCGAGCGTGTCTGCTTTGCTTTGGTCCTTACCAGCGCCTTTGCGCGGCGTCTGTGCTCGGCCCGAGCGGGATCCCAAGCCTGTTTGCGGGCGCGGCCCCGGCAAGACTTGTGGGCTTTCAAGAGCAAACTTGTCTTTGTCTTGCGGGTAAAGCTTGTACACGGTGCCCAAGTCAGCTTCACTTCGAAACTTGGTGGCCCAACGGATTTGCTACGATAATGTGTTTGCGTTTGGACGCAAAACTCGGACAATGCAAGCTTCTTGATAGTGTCGTTTTATTCTACGGGCGCCCTTTCAAGTTGCAGGAAGCATTGCTTTAGGGTTGGAGTTGCCAGGCTTTCAGGGGTGGAGTTGCCAGGCTTTTAGGGGCCCGTTGTTTGTGAATCCCAAAGCCAAATTCAATTATCAAGACAGTTGGGCTGCCGTTGCAGGAAACGGCAAATACTGTAGGAGAAGCGCGGTTGCATCCTGGCTGGCTGACACGGCCAAGCGAGTGGCGTGTGCTAACTGTATGGCTTCCGCGAGAGGGTCTGAGGCCTTTGCGTGGCATCCGCGTTCGGCCCGAGCGGGATCCGAGCGGGATTCCGAGCGTGGCTTCGCTTGCCTTTGCTTGTGCCCTTGCGTGGCACCCGTGCTCGGCCCGAGCAGAAACTCGAACGCGGTTGCTCTTCCATTTGCTGACGCCTGTTGCGTGGCATCCGTGTCGCCCCAAGCGGGAGCCCGAGCGTTTGTACGTTTGCCTGCCAAAGTGTACTTTGTCTATTACACCTGTACTGACAAGTTGCGACCATTGAGCTGGAGCTGCCAAAGTGTATTTCCTTACTACACTTGTACTAAAAAGTTGCGACTTTTGTGCTGGAGCTGCCAAAGTGCGTTTCCTTTACTACACATGTGCTGAAAAGTTGTGACTTTCGAGGCGGAGCTGCCAAAGTGTACTTCCTTTACTACACTTGCACTGTCAAGTTGCGACCTTCGAGCCGGAGCTGCCAAAGTGTATCTCCTTGTACTGAAAAGTTGCGACTTTCGAGCCAGAGCTGCCAAGGTGTATTTCCGTTACTGCACTTGTACTGACAAGTTGCGACCTTCGAGCCGGAGCTGCCAAAGTTTCGTTGTACTGAAAAGTTGCAACTTTCGAGCCGGAGCTGCCAAAGTGTATTTCCTTTACTGCACTTGTAGTGAAAAGTTGCGACTTGCGAGCCGGAGCTGCATTGCTGGATTTCCACACGTCAACGCGGTAGAATTTGGCACCTGGCAATCCATTTGTATGTTGGCAAACTCTTGTCTTTCACCCTGACAAGTCGTGGGACACAAAAGAGCCACGGACAAAACACGTGTAGACCACTTTGGTAAAGGGGGGAGCTGCGGAAGTGGGCTTCGCGCACTAGACTTGCACTACGATTTTCGAGCTGGAGCTGCGGAAGTGCACTTCGCGTGCTAGACTTGTGTGCTACAAAGTTGGGATTTTCGATCTGGAGCTGCGGAAGTGTACCTCTCGTAGCTAGACTTGTGCTACAAAGTTGCGATTTTCGAGCCGGAGCTGCCAAAGTTCGAAAACACTGTAACACAATAATAACGTTCAACAAAGTACTAGGGCCAAGTAAAGCATCACCTATCCACGCAAGCTCCATGTAAGCCAGTCCACCGCACACCCTTCCTCCATCATAGGCTCACTGGGTTCTGCAATTTTCTACGCTTAGTGAAGATTTGACACGTGTGCTTCCATGAACATTCGAGAAAGCGTATGTAGCCCTTTAATGTTCTGTTCGCCTGCCCAAAGCCAGAGAGCCCCATGTGCGACCTGTTGACCGCTGTTTTGGGTTTCAGGGTGTGGCAGGCGTGTGCTAACTGTTCAGGGTTGACGGGGCATTCCGGCCAACACAGTAATGTGGTATCTGCCTAGGAAAAAAGTGATAACTGATTGATACGCACTATACTACACGTGTGCTGAAAAGTTGCGAAGCTGGAGCTGCCGAAGTGTACTTTCTTTACTACGCTTGTACTGGACTTTCGAGCCGGATCTGCCAAATCTACTTCCTTTGCTACACAAAGTTGCGATTTTCGAGCCGGAGCCGCCAAAATGTACTTCCTTTACTACGCTTGTACTGAAAAGTTGCGACTTTCGAGCTGGATCTGCCAAATCTACTTCCTTTACTGCATTTGTACTGAAAAGTTGCGACTTTCGAGCCGGAGCTGCCAAGGCATACTTCCTTGTAGTGAAAACTTGAGACTTCCGGACAGGAGCTGCCAATGCGTTCTTCCTGTACTACAGTTATACTGAAAAGTTGCGGCTTTTGAGACGGATCTGCCAAGTGTACTTCCTTTACTACACTTGTACTGAAAAGTTGCGACTTTTGAGACGGATCTGCCAAGTGTACTTCCTTTACTACACTTGTACTGAAAAGTTGCGACTTTTGAGACGGATCTGCCAAGTGTACTTCCTTTACTACACTTGTACTGCATTGCGAAAGGTGCTCGTTTCAGAAAGCGTATCTCTGCCCACAACCAGAGAGGCATGTGCTAACTGTTGGTCGCCGCTTTCGGTTTCGGGGTGTGGCAGGTGTGTGCTAACTGTTCGGGGCTGACGGGGGCATTCCGGCCAACCCAGGGATGTGCTAACTGTGCCGCCTGCTAAAAAGTGCTAACTGATAGATACGCACTATAGTGGAACGTCATCGCCGCGCGGTCCTTGGGGGGGGGGGGGGCCCCCCCCCACGTATCAGACGTCGGGTGGGGGGGGGGTTAGGGGGGTCTATCCTCTCGAAGGTGTCCGACACGCCGAGCAATGTCGGCGGATATATACAGATATATATATATATATATGTTTTTGCTGGGGTCCTAATTCCAGCCAAGCAGCACGGACCATAGGCCGGCAGGATTCAGAGCTGCGAGACCGCGTCGACGCAGTGCTCCTCCTTCACCATGGACCTCTGCCAGCTGTCCCTGGCGCTGCAGCACGCCACAGAGGCACTTGGATCGATGAGACTCGGATCTGGCGGATGGGGAGCCAGAGTTACAGCCGTAGATGAAGATTGGAGTTGGGAATGAGGTAGACTAGCTCCCCCAGTAATAAGTGCCCTTTTACCCTTTTTTGGGGGAGGGTTCCCCTACTAAAATAAACTACAGAAAAAAGGGTAATTACCCTTATTCTAACCACTCTACTGGAGGACCTAGTAGACTTCTTGAATTCCTGTTTTCTTTACCGCGGGCTTTGGCTAGACCCCTGCAATTGGTTTTGATTGTGACTCATGGGCAGCCCTACAAACTTCTGCAAGAGCAGCCAGGAACGTCAAAGAGGCCTTGCAAGCCGTTCCGAAGACAGGGCCTGTCGCCAGGTGAGCGCTCAGGTGGAACATCTGTGAAGAACTCAACAAGCACTCAATGTACAGGTGTCGCCCGACCCCCAAGTGGCAACTGGCATCCCATTGCAACTCGTCCCCATGTTAGCCCACCGAGAGGCGCGGCCAACACGTCAACAAGAGTGCCTGCCAAAGGCCCCTGCAGCTCCAAGGGTGTATTGCTGCTTTTCTTAAATTCCCTCCTCTGTCGGGTGTCCAAATCAACTTGATTGAGTGTGGAACTTGAAAACTTGTCTTGTTCGGATAGCCCCTCAAATGTATCACGTGTCATGAGTGGGTTGTACTAGTGTTTCCCTTGAAGACTATCCACAGTGAGATGGTCCAACTGACTGGACCCGGGCCAAAGGCGGATCTTTTGACCTTTTGGCTTCTCAGTTCATGCATGACAACCCCTCAGTCCTGCTTGGTTGCAAGTGAGTGTCGGCTGGTTGTTTGCAGGGTTTCACCCCTGCACCAAACCCGATGCCCAACTCTGGGAAAGCGGGTCCTGCTTTGATTTGCTAAAGTCGGTTTTTAGCCCTGGCTTGAAAAGGGAAATGGACATGGCTTCAAAACATTTGTTTTGCTTCGATGGCGCAATAGAAAACGGGTACTAAAATTGCTGGACCCTCAAAATGGTTGCCTTAGCCACCATCCGAATCCAAAAGGATTTGAAAGTGCCTTAATTTTGGCATTAGTCCCTATTTCAGATTGGTTTGTTTTTGACAATGCACCCAGAATTGGTTTGCTGCTTGGTTCAACCCGTCAAGGTTGTTTAAGCATGCTGATTGCCTTTCCTGCACGGGAGCCAATGGGCAATATGTGTTGCCTTCAACTTGGTGGCCTTGCATTGCGGAGTAGTTTTCCAGATTTTCTACAAAGGCCTTTGGTTATAAACTCTAGTTGCCTGTTTTTGTTGGTTAATCTTTAGCTTTTCCAGCTTTCCAGCTTTCAACCTTCACAGGTGGTTAAGCTCAAACTGTTCATCTTTCACCTGTTGGGACGCGGTCGTCCGAGCTCCGAAAGGGTCCGATCCGGTGGAGGCCTCCTTGGTGCTGCTGGACGAGTTTGGGAAGGCAAGGTTCCGAACGCCGCGGAAGTTGTTTCAGTGGGACACCTTTGATTTTTGACTGGGTGCATCAAAGTGACAGACCCGCTAAATGAGGCTTTTAAGGGAAACCACACCCAAGAGTAGTATTGTGGACCCTTCAGAATGTGTCTTTCATGGGACCCCATTTGATGAACGTTACTAGTTACTTGTACGGGGGTTTACGCCCACCAACTATTCTTTGATGCGGAGTTCCCCATCAAAATGCGTACCCAGATCCAGCCTGACAACGGTCCCTGCAACCAATAATTTTCAGGGGCCCTTTCATGCTGGATATCTGTGGGTGAGAGTGCACAACTCTCAAAGTACATGGCACATGCTTCTTCCTGTTGGTGAGGAAAGGGGAAGCGGGTATGCGAATTGGCAACATTATCCAACCATGTCAGAGGAGATATCTAGTCTCAGTTGTTCAGTGGCACCATTTTTCCTTTTTTTTGGTGGCTGCCCCAGTAAAAATGGTCTTCCCCAAAAAGGGTTCCCTTTTTGTCCAGGGTCACTGAACAACTGAGTAGTTGGACATCAAGCATCCCCTTTTCAAGGCAAACGGTCCAGCATTTTGAAGGGTTTCTGTGCTGCTTCCCTTGTGGCGAACCTTGAATGAAATTCCATTGGCCGGTGATGATATGAGCGTGTGTCACAATATGGAACCTCTTTCCCTACAGATGATGCCCTCAACAAATGGCTTTCTAAAGATTGGAGACCAATCAAGATGAGAGCATTCATTTTGTGGATCAACCACTTCTGAGACAAAACCAATTCAGCACAAAAAAGGGGCCGGTTCTCCCACATTTTTTCAAAAAAAAGGCACACTGATTTGGGCATGTCAAACACATCGGGGCCCTCGGACGCTCCAACTGGCCTCATTGTTTTGCCATGATCAAAGTCACCCCCGAAACCGTCGACTTGGGTTGAAGGGAAAGAACCACATTCCGAAACCGTCGAAATGACCCCAGTCCAAAACGGAACCCGAACCCGACGGCCACTCCACGCAGGGCACGCGGGCGGCGGACGGGGTGGCGCTGCTGGGCGCCACGGTGGAGTACCTCTGCCGCCTGCCCCGCGGGCCCAAAGCGCGGGGCCAAGTTCTCGTAGGGACCTGAGCTCACGGAGTTGCTCCAAGTGGATCTTTTTTTTTTACCTTCCATTTGCTGAAATGAATATGCGCTATTTTCTGTTCGTTTGAAAGAGAATCGATGTCGCTACTGGATTTGTGGTTCTTCTTTCGCGGCTGAGGCAAATGGAAGTTATTGAAGCATGTTTACAACACTTCTTCGGGCAACCTCATTTGGTATCCCTGCACAGGGGACCAGGGATTTGCTGTTTCAATAAATTGTGCCCAAGCCTACTGGACCCCTTTAACCATCCTTAGCTGGCTGAAGGACCCCCCTTTCCCCCCATTCATGGGCATTGGGTGCTCTTTTTCGGGCTGCGATAAACATAGATGAGTTTCGCGCTCGTTTTGCATGTCGTGTTTCAACTCGGGTGCCTTGAGAACGTGGTGTGTCTCTTGTTGAGGGCGCCCTTGTCGCGGTAGGGAAACCAAGTGGACTCCGGGAGCCCGCTCGAAGACACGCACCGGGCGGAGGATGGGCTAAAGAGAAGTGGCCCCCAACATGGCTGATCCGGCTCTGAAAAAGGGGTTTCCCAAAAAAGACAAGTGCAAAGAGCCCTTGTTTGAGTTGCCCTTCCATGACAAGCCTGGTATGATGCACAGATCCGGTTAGAAGACTAGCTCCCTTTTGGAAAAGGGTGTGAGGGAAAGCAAGAGGGACTCTGCCACAAGGGGCTCGCCTGTCAGAGAGCACCTTGGCAAGTGGCAAGACTTTCCACGCCAACAGGGTTGTCCAAAAGAGCAATGAAGAAGGATGTTGTGTGCTTGCTTTGCCGAATTTGTCCTGAACACCCTTTCACTTGCCACGATTTGTTGACGAGGAAATGGCCACGTCGACCAACGAGCGAGTGGCAACATGTATTTGGATGGTCACTTGATGACCCTTGATTTAAGTCAGACCACACTTGCAGTATTTAGAAAGGGATGCATGATTCTATGTGCATGTCTCAAATGTGGGGCCCCCTGCTATCTGCCTGGTGTCCTCCTTTTGGGGGGAGGGTTGAGTCAAAATACAGATTCCCGCCTCTCAAACTGGCAAACCCATTGAGTTCGTCTCAACGAATATTCCGTTTAGACTCACTTCCTGGAAGACTAGGGATTCCTCCAGCCTAAAAAGGCGACTATATAGCACCCAGTTGGAATCCGCCGCAGGTTCTCTTGACCACCCACTTCACGGAGATCTTCCGTCTGAACTTGGTCTCCGAGACGGAGCGATACCTGCAGCTCAGCCACTTGCGGGTCCTGCCGGCAAAGGAGCGAAATGGCTTTGGCTCGTCCCTTCTCTTGGAGTTAGTTACGATTTCTTGGTGGCTTTAAGGGAACACCCGCCATGTTAGAAGTTTCCCCCCAAAAAGGGGGTTGATCAATATTCCCTTTGGCCCACAAATCACCATGCGTATCTTTTGCCACGTGGGACCCCCCCCAAAAAAAAGACACACCAACAAATGCTGCAAGTAAGGGAACAAGGAAGCCCCTCCATGGTTTTCCCCTTTGTGACTTCAAGCTTCCTTGTGTACGCTCACTTGCCAAAATTTGGCATCTACCGTACCATCCCTTTGCCGATTCTATGGACAGTTCCACCGTGAAGAAAACGTCCCTCTTTTAAGCGATACCTGATGGCTTCCTTGGTCAATGCGAAAGGCAGGAAATAGGTTGGACTTCTGCATGTTGTGAGAGTGTGTGTTTTCCTGGGCCAAGATCGGCTTGTCATTATTCGGAGGGCATGCTAAGCTAAAGTGAAGGCAGACACTTGCGGAATACTAAAGGGACTAAAGGATCCTGAGGTGGGTGTAGTTGCCTCTTGGCTTCCTTTGAAACATCATCCAACAGGAGGGGTTGCCTTTTTTAGGAGACACCTACTGCGGCCACCGAGGTTGGCGTTGTTCATTTGTTCGTGGCCAAGACAGGGGCCTCCCCAAATTCCAGATTCCGTTTGGAACACCTAAACGATGCCATTCCCAAAAGGTGTACCTGCCTTGTTTTGAATGTGTTGTGGGGTTTTGACTTCAATGATTACGATGATTCGCATGTTTGCCAGTGTTCAATGGCAATTCCTAGAGCCCAAGACCCTAAATATGAGGGTCTTGAACCCTCAAAGGCCTTGTTATTTGAGGTCTTGGGCTCCTAGGATGCCAATTTCGGCTCTTTCGACTCCCCCAAGTCGAGGGACTGACGGAGGGGACTGACTTGCGAGGAGACGGAAGGAGATCAGGACGAAGAGGGCCCATCCATCGCATCTCAGAGGAAAGCAAAACAAAGGAGCGAGGCTCCGATAGGATACGACTCACTTCTCCACTTGGACTTTGTATTTTTGCTTTGGTGCATCTTGCTTGGATGTTAGGACTTTGACTTTTTGCCAACTATTGCGTTTTCCATAAACCACTAAAAGTTAAACTGTTAACAGGGGAGCAGAAAGCAACCGAGTTTGGGCAGACCATTATTTGTTTGCCTGAAATAGATGTTTGGTCTCTGCGTCACTGTCGTAGGCCAGGTTGCATCTTGCCTGCCTCGCCAGAGAGAAAGTGATCTCTCGTTGGACAAGCAGCGCCAGGATGTTCCTGGGTTGCTGGTTGGACAGTTGAAAAGAGACGGAGCTTTGTTTAAGTTCGGGTCGAGTGAGCTGAACCAAGATCAAGACTTGGGCACTTGGGTTGTATTTTTCTGTGGTTTCGGAGTGGATGGTGGATGCACAGCTCCATGCCCGTGTGACTGGGACCAGGGTGAACTCCCAGGGCGTTCTTTCCATTGGCTTTCCCTTTGCGAACCCCGCGGCGACAGACTACGTGACATGTATTTTCCTTATACTCACGTGGTTGTGTGGACAAAGTCTTCGACTTGCAATCCATGGGGAGCACCCTCAAAACACCCTCAACTTCCATGTGCTTAATATTTTGTTGATGATTATTTTCCATAATTGGTTTTACAGGGAAGCTATCACAACTCGAAACATTGTTACTTTTCCAGGGGGCTTGAGCAAATGGATTCAACAGATGCTTGGTAGGCATAAATTCCCGGTACCATACCCCGCGAAAAGGGTTTCGTTGCAGCTTCCCTTGCAAACGGCCATAAGGATGGTACCAACTGAAATCAGAATGACGCTGCCCGCCCGAGGCATTCACTCTCATGGGGGCTGGGGGGGAGGGAGGGGCGGGGTGGGAGCCCAAATATGCCCTAAATAAGGCCTTATTAAGGGCTTAATAAGGGCTTATTTGGGCTTCCCTCCCCCTCCCCCCCCAGCCCCCATGACACTCCATCCGGCCTCCCCACATGGCAAAAACATGGCCCCCTGCAAAAAGGGGTTCCCTTTGAACTCGTACAAAACTCACAGCTGCTCAACCACAAAAACCCGAGACCCACATGGCAATTTCTCAAAATTGGGGAACCCGTTTTGCTGGGTGGTTTCCATTTCCCTGTAGAACCATCCAAACAGGGGTCCGATTCCTATTTTGAGAACCCCCCACATGGAAAAATCACCCTTTTTGGGTTCCCTATTTTAGGACCCCACCCTTTGAGCATAGAAAAACACAGCTGCTGGACCACAACCGCTAAACCGCTGCACCCACATGAAGCATGATCTAGGCGTATCTCTACCAGCTGGTGGAGGGCTGCTGTGAGAAGAGCTTCGGCCTGGACTGCGCGCGCCAGGCGGGGCTGCACCCGGAGGTGCTGAGCCGCGCGCAGCAGCGCCTCGGACGGACGCCTCGGACGGAGCAAGCGCCGGGTGGGTGGAGCCCTCAAAACGAGGCGAGTGGCTGGGTGCCTTGTTTCTTGGGGGGACCGTGTTTTTTTTTAGTGGGGTTGGATCGTTTTTACAGGAAAAGTTAAAGGGCAGCTTGGGGGATCGTTGTTATTTTGGTTTTATTGTTTTGTTTTTTCTCTTTTTTGTTTCTTCTTTTGTTTGGGGAGGCAAGGGGGGGATGGGGGGGGGGGTCGGATTGGAAGGGACATGTTTAGGCCAGTTTGGGGAATTCTTTTTTGAGGGGCTTCTTGTTGGGTGGTGCTTTTAACGGGAAACTTAAGGGGTAGTTTAGACCAGTTTGGGGGGTCCTCGATTTGAAGACGCCCATTCTCGACCACAATTCGCGGAGGAAACTCCTTTCAGGGGACAGAGAGGGCACCACCGTATTTTGACTGTGGGTGAAAGATTTGAGGCTGGACAGAGAGGGCACCCCTGTCTTTGCACCGCACGTTTTGTCCCGAGCCCCGGCTCCCGCTGAGGATCCTGTCCAGCATCGAAGCCGGGCGGCCCATCGAACGCGTCTCCGTCGATGAGAAAGACTTGGCGCGGAGCTGGGGTGTCATACGACGGCTCTGCGCACTGGACACCGAGGCCGACGAAAACGGGGGGGGGTCCCTTAGACTCACGTCCCAAGCTCCTGAAGGGAGGGCTACACGAGAATCCACCCACAAGAGTAGTCTTCAGAACCCCTCCAATTACACTCACTTCCTGAGTGGATTGGGGGAAACACTTTTTGCCAAGCTGTTTGCCACGTAAACGGTCTTCCACAAACGTATCGGATTCCCGGGAACTCCAGACCTGAGTTTTGGGACTCCAGACACAAGCGTGAGATGGTTGCAGAGGGTCTAGGTTTTGTCAAGTGATGTCCCCCCCCCCCCACCCCCCCCCCCAAACCCCACACCCCCAAACCCCCCCCAAACCCCCGACAAGCACAGCCAAAGGGCCGGGCCTGGGCCGGGCCTGTGCCCTCGGCCGCGCCTTAGGATGAGATCGCCGCGAAGGCGTTCCTGGCCCATGTGGCTCAGGACACCTCCAGTCGCGGGGCAAAACCCCATGCGCCGCGGTGAAATCTTTCGGACCCCGAGGGATTTCTTCGGTGCTCTCCTTTCGGTGTTTGCCTTGAACTCGACACAAGCCCACAAATATACCCGCCGAGGTCTTTGCGAAGAGGGGCCTCCGGTGAAGAGGCGTTCGATGCTTGCACCCCTGGTTATTTTCCCAAAGGCGGGTGAAAAAGGAGAGAAAGCAAATGGGAAGGTGATTCGGGCAAAGAAGTTGAACATGGTTGGCAAAAGTCCGGGCCACCGAGAGAACCCAGGTAAGTCCGTGGTTTTAACATTCGAGAGGTGAACGCCGGCCAATCTTTGAACTAACATCGTGCAGGCTGTCGCAGGATCGAGGAGGTTTGGGAATGCCTTGCAAGCAAAACAGGAAAGGACAGCAAAGGAAGACAAGCGAGATGAGAGCGTGGCGTGACAAAGACGTGGTTGGTGCTTTATTGTATGTTGTTCCTGCGATTGCTTGCCGATGCGGAAGTACTAGGGATGCTCTGCACTAAAAGGTGTAGCCCACAATGCTAAGTATTCCGGGATGCTGAATTCATGATTCGCCTGTTTTTCCTTTTTGGAATGCACCGCCGCAGATTTTGTTCACATGGTCAGGTTCACTAAGCACGGAGAATTCAAGACATGTTGGGGCTGCAGGGGGGTTTTAACAGCTGAGATGGCTGCTTGAAGTCTCTCTTGTCCTCCCCTCACTATCCTTGCTGGTTCTCAGCAGGGCATGAGGGAATGCCCCCTATAAACCCATTCCCTGTGGTTTCCTTTAAGGGACAACTCGGACTCGGTCATTCCCTACCTATCGCACCAGCAAGTATCTGACTGGCAGGAACATCTACTGGGCCAGCTTGGGGGCTGAGCCAAAGCTTGTGGGGGTTGGAATTCGTGACCGGAGTTTGCAGGGGCGCAAGCTGAGAGCCGTCAAAACCTGGGTGAAGGTCAGGCGACAGTCGCAACCTCGGTGCGGCTGGTCTGTTCTTTCTTTTCTGGTGACTCCGGATAAATTAAACCCATCACCCATCCTGTTGATAGGGGCTGTTCCCCCCCCAGAGGGTGAGGAATCCCCACTTCAAGGGGGCACCCCCGATTCATATTAATCCGGAGTTCCCATTGCATGGATTGGGAGCATGCTGTTTCGCGTGCAAAATCAAGAGAAATGGCAAGCTGGCTGCTGGAATTGCATGGAAAACCTTGGATCGCTTTGCAGCGGCGTCTTGGAGGCTTCACCCTCTTTAAAAGAATGACATCAGCACTCAGCAACATCAGGGAAACAGGATGTCTTTGAGTGATTGATGACGAGCGGTCGTCCATTGCTTGCATGCTTGCACTAAGAACCTTGGAAAGAAATGAGCTTGCGCTGTGTGAGGCACATGGGTGACAGGGGCCTCTTCGATCCGCAGGATTTTTTGGCGTGTAGAGTCGTTCCGAGTGGGGCGGGGCTTGAAGCGCAGCATGCCGGAGCCTTGGAAGGTGCCACGAGCCTTGGAAGTTGCCCCAAAGCAGATCGACCTGATATGGGTAGGTCAAAATTAACCACCAGGAAATGGACCGCAGGTTTCAGTCCTTGTTTCCATTCAACAGGGCAAGCCATTTTGGGTACCAATTTTTGACCACAGCCATATGAAATTACCACCCCCAGCAATTGACAGCGCATTTGGGGTATGTATGCTGGGCATGAACAAACTCCTGCACCAGTTGGCATGGATGAAACCGCATGAATGCTGGGATAGACCACAAACCAACTGTTGCAGGATTTTGTCCATGCACAGTTTCTGATTCTTTTTTTTTGGGGGGGGGTTGCAGGGCCTGTGCGCATAAGAGTTTCTTGCAACCAAAGGAGGGTACTCAGGATCGAATTACAATATCACATTTTTTTCACCCAGCCCCCAGCAGTTCCCCTGACCGTCTCCCAACCATCCAAGGCCCCCACAAAACCCCGAACCCCTCAACCTGCCCCACCCCATCCCCCACAAAAAATGGGGTGGAGGGGACGAACCTTAGAATCATGCACCTCCAAGAGCCATTCTTGAGTAAAAGTTCTATTCTTGGGAGTAAAAGCTATCACCTGTTCCGGCCTCAAGGCAAAACAGGGCTTATCCGACCTACTCGAACGCTTTTGGGATAGCTCCTCCCCTTGCGCCTCATCTCGCTCCAGGCGCTTGAGGCCGCGCCTCGCCGCAGTCCTCCTCCTAGGCGCGAAAAAGGGCCGTGGTCCGAAGATGTTAGCATCGTGACTTGACGGGTTGGCCCTTCCCAAGTGCAGGGGTTCCCACTAGAAACTGTCAACCATGGGTGTCCTTTTTGGTTGGTTTGCTGAAAAAACAATAGAGGGCCCTGGTTTAGATGGGGTGGAGATTCCATTTACCAGGGAAACCAATCTAGTTTTCCAAAAGGCCACCTATGTGCATAATTTTTTGCGAGCTCACCTGGAGGTGTAATGAGCTCACCATGATAATGTTGCAATAAATTGCCAAATTGTTGCTGTTGGACATTTGTTGCCAGATTTGGATCGTCATCGTTTGGCCTTTCCAAGGACCAGCAGGATGGATTGTTGGCGGCTTCTGACACCCGCTACTTGCCGATGGTTTTGGAATGAGAGTTGGAACCTCATGCGAGTCGTAACTTGGGGATCCGCAAATGGCGGCGTTCCCTTTGCCTTTCGTTTTGAACCACTGGGGAAATGGTTGTTTGCCCGCACATCCAAGTCAGTCAGAAGCACATCGGCGAATTTGATTGTGGGACTAACTCTAAGTGGGTGTCGTGAAGTAATTCTATGGGGGGGACGGTGTACAGGAAAGGTCACAGCAATGAGGGAAGCAAACAGGGTTCTTGCAGTGGGCGCTTGCATTTGGTGTTGTCGAAACATGAGAGTTCCATATTGATGGTACACTTGATTCGCTACGCTTGCATCAGGCACCACACACCATTTGTGTTGCCCAGTCCGCAGCAAACAGGTCGCCGAGTTTGCGAGATTCATTCCATGCGACACCTGGCATTGGATGGGCAGCACACGCCTGTGAGGTGTTCTCATAGATGCAAATCAACCGGAGGAGGAGGAGGACCGGCAGGGCTAGCTGCAAGTGGCGACGCTTCGCGTGGCTTCAAAAGAGATCAGCCCCAAACCAACATCGTGTCACTGTCACTGACTGTCACTTGCTGCTTTGGCGCTTGGATGCCGCTTGGCAGGCCAAGTTGGGTGCCTTTGAACGGCGATTCCTAAGATGTCCAAAGCGTGTTATGTGTTCTTTGGTTTTTGGGCCTTTGGTAGGCCCTGAGGCACAAGCAGAGAGAAAGCTTGCGGCTTGTGCTGTGTGTTCCGCTGCTTTAGAGAGGAAGATCTGAATGCAGGGCCCATCACGACTCCTGACCATGAGTTTGCCTTGTGAGGAGGTGCGAGTTTTTGCAGATGCCGTGACAGGTGCCGGGGGGTGGGGGAATTCATAACTGTAAATGCTCCTTCTTACCCTTGGTTGTCATATTGTACGGGGCGTGACATCAGTTTTCCGTTGCATGCGAACATTGTACATTGCGCGAGCTTGCAATGAGCGATTGGTAGTGTGAGGAAAGGGTATGTGCAACCAGCCCTGAAGGTGTGCCGGATGCATGCGTTGTGCATCTGCATTTGCATGCACGTTGACAGAATCTGACAGAAACAACTCGACGATGAGAGAAACAAGGTGGACTTGACTTGACCAGGTACTGACACAGAGTACTTCCAAAGCCTGATAAACAGAGGCAACACTTTGTCTTGCAGCGCTCTCAGCTCGCAGGCAAAATGCATTGCATGTGGCAAGTTAGGGATTCGCGCCACGAGAAGCTCGTAGAGTCTGAGGTTGCGGCTACTGGGCAGACCAAGCAGCCGTCCGAATGCAGCAGTTTGTTGCACAGCAGCTGCATGTCACCAGAAGGAGAGACCGCTGGTCGCGGCCACAAGTGAAGTCAGGGACCCAAGGCCAAAACCGAATGGGCCATTGGATAGGGGTTCCAATAGGCTTGGCAAGGTTTCTACTAAGCCCACAACCTGTAGGCACAACATCACCATCTTGGAACTAAAAGTCTGAATGAGTGGGGGCCGTTCGAGGGTGCCTTAAGTTGGGGATCTGAACCATTGAAACACTGGATCAGCATTGGTGTTTCCTAAAATGAGGGACACCTGTTTGGGTGATGATAAAGGGGAAATTGACGGAAGCAAACCAATTTTCAGCGCCCCTGTTCTAGTGGGGAAACACCTGCGCCCGCACTGCCAGTTTTTATGCTCAGGAGCTTGAGCCCGGCTGAGTTGAGGCATAATCAACACCTGGGCAAATGAAGCTGTTTTGGGGGGTCAGCCGACTCATTTTACATGTTTTTGAATATTACTCAGTCTGCCAAGTTCTAGACAGACCGTTGTGAGAGGATCGGGTTGTTGGGGAAGTTTGTTGGGAAAGTTAAGCGCATCCAGTCATACCCACTCAGATGCGGGGAGAGTATTTGGCAGTTTATGCCTGCAACCTGCTTTCGATCCCACCCTTAACTCAGTCAATTCATTTGTGCTCTTTTATTTTTTTGGGTGCGCGTCAGCTTTCTTGCGGGTGCCGCACTCTGAAGGAGCATAGGAGATGTGCACTTCGACAATATTACAGCAGCCGGGGCCTGAGGATTGTCCGAACTGGTCCATCGGGGCCCGGTCCCGACTAAGAAGACCTCGAGCGATTTGGACAGCCGGAAGTTCTGTTCTTTGTGTGTTGGGGGTATCATGTGCCCTTTTTTCCCGGGAAGGGTGTCCCTTGAAAGTCAACCAACCCAAAAAGGATGCCCTTTTTCCCCATGGTTACTGAGCATCTGAGTTTGGTAGGGTCTTTGAACGGGTCTTTGGAGGTCAGCGGTGCAACAGTTGGGAAGTCCCCATGCGTTACGGTCGACACTTGCGACACTGGCGACACTGCGACACTCAACAAAAAGGCGATGCCCCCCAAGGAGTCGCCGGGCTGTGAATCTCCCAAAAGCATGCGCACAAGTCGCACTCTATTGCTGCCTGAGAATCCAGTTCTTGTTCCGGGTAGTTATCTGATGTTGGGCGGTAAGTGAAGTGTGTGTGTGTGTGTCAGCATGCAGTTCTAAGTAATCTCAACTCTGAGATGTCTCCTGTTCCCTTCAAACGTCAACCATGAAACAGGAGCCAAGTTCTTCCAGATCAGCCATCTTGAGGCGTGCAAATCTGCTACAGCAAGTTGCTGCTTTTCTTGCAAGCACCACCTTTAGATACGTGGAATTCCCCCCAGTTTCAAAGCTCCCCGGTCCGAAGGTGCGCGCAAGCCGGGACGAGCACGGCCACTGGAGTCCCGTCCTCGGAGCGGGCTGTTAGAGCCAAGGTGTCATACACCATGTGCAGGGATCAAACTAGCTTTTCACCATGCTGTGGGTCAAAAATAGGTGCCCAAAATGGCTTGCCCTGGAAAGTTGAACCAAGGACTAAAACCTGCGGTCCTCTGGTGGTTTAATTTTGACCCATATCCATGTCTTGATTCGCCAGATGCTGCGGAACAAAATCAATGGCAACACAGACAATCGATGACATCCCTTTACTCACATAGGCCGGTGACTCCCGTGACTGACAGCCCCAATTGCCAGGCCTGTAAAGCCACAAGCCACAGGACCCATCTGTCGTCACCCTGCCAACCTTCCATTCACACACAGGCCGTGCAACAAGAAAGGAGCAATGGCAACACAGAGAATCGACAAGGAAACCCCTTTACTCACATAGGCCATAGCCATGCTGGACTTCCGCAGGTGGTGTCGCGGTGATGTACCTCGAGGACTTAGGTGCCTCGCAGGCGCCATCTGCATCTCCAGTTCCGTGGTCCGACTTGTGGTTGAAGACAAAACTTGGTGGCTCCCAGCCATCCGGTTCCTTAGCTTTTTGGCTCTTGTTTGTGTTTGGTGGTTGGTTTTCCTTTTAGCCCACTAAAAGTTAAAGCTTTTAGCGGGGGATCTGAGGACAGCCTAGAAAAGGAACCAATGGAATCGACCC